TGATATGTGAAGTTCGAGTAGTCTGGGTTCAAACATCGATTATTGAAACAATGTTGATTATTGTAAGCTTATTTATAGACTACTTTTTGCAGAGAAGCTTTCAGTTTACTTTTAATTATAATTTTAAACTTCATCCAACGGAACAAAATCTACCGAAGTCAATATAATAGTACGAACTAAATTCTCATAAACATACTCTTTATAATATTTGTTCGCATGTCAACAAAACTGTTGTAGCTCACATTCCTTAGAACAGAGCATCTACCTTTGAAATAGCAGTACTAGATAATCGTTTTCAGCTTCTATTGCTATTGGAGCTCCGCTATTAGGTGTTACCTAATTTTTATATTAATTCTCCCCCTTTTCATCAATGTTCAATGAAAACATTACATTTATTTGTTCCTTACTAATAAGGAGACTCTATACAATGGAGTAAATGCAGCACCGATCGAAACCTGCTTTTTTGATTGCTGCTTAAGTACAGCAGCTCTACTGTTAGGTTGGGTTTGGTTTTATTCTTGGCAGATCTATTATTTGTCCATTGTTTTCTCAACCTATCATGAGACCCGTTCCGATCGATGCTGACTGTTCTCTTGAATGGTCTCAGGATTCTGGCAGTGATTGTAGACCGTGCATTTGATTGGAATGCTGAATAAGAATAACGAAGCATCCCTCATGGGTTTCTTTTGTTTAATAACAGCTTTGGCTTTTTTCCGACATTCCTTGTGATATGACTACGACCAAAGCAAAAGAAAAGGAAGCACGAGCAAACATTAAATGTATTTTASMCTGATATACTTCAGCTCACCTTATCTAACACAAACGACATGCKTTTCTGCAATGCAATGTCATGTATTGTGGGTTCCACTTGCATTCTCCTTCTTTTTCCCACTTACGGCATTTAGGATTCGTATCTTTACAGCCTAAATATGAATACTTAATTATTAATAATTATTAATATTATAGAGTATTCATTTTCATGTTTGTTTGTTTTTAATTTGCATCTTTAGAAGATGTTAACCACCCAAATACCAAATTTCAACTAGCTTTCTAGTAATATCTGTAATATCTCAGTATTCAAAGCTATATGTTGCAATAGGGAAGCCAATAAGAGCCACGGGCATTTCAAAAATTCTWAGCGTGAAAATTYGGAAATCTCTGAAATTCAGTTTTATAACAACCGCKCTCTTCTGTAGCCAGAAAACTTTTACACATGTGAATCAAGAATCAACATTAAGCCTGAACAATATCTCAATATTAGGCGTGCCTTTTTGGAATACGATACCCTCTCTATTCGAAATGTGTCTCAAGTGTCATTTCAAAAGAAAATCAAGTAATTTTTTTCGAGTTAATTTCTTCAGACAGAAAACACCTACTGCTGAAATCGAAAGGATTATTCAAATTCTCAGGTAATCTACCTACTAATACAATCGATAWTTCTTGTACTTCACCTTTCATGATAAATTAACGTCACAACCGTATATCGCTTATGACTCAATTTTAATTAATAATATTAATTTCAAATAGAAGTAATTTTTAGTTGATATATTTCTAACCTTCCTATTGAACATTTTCATTAAAACGTCCTTCGATATAGTATTTATTTGTATAAATTTAAGTTTATTATCTTACTTTAACCCAACAGACTACCTTGCAAGACTAGTAATCCGTACTATTTGCAGGCCAGTGGTATATAATTTTTTTATGACTAGTCACTTTACTACATTGAGATAAGCCTTGAAATCTTAATTCAGGGTTCGTACAGATTTTTTCTTACAAAATTCAAGGACTTTTCAAGACTGTACGAACCCCGTTAATTTATATACTTACTGCATTTATTGCAACTCATTCGGCAGTGTTTGTCCATGAATTCCTCATTCTTCAAGCATTCGCCTGCTGCCGCCCATTTTGCACATTCMTTTTTGAATTTTTCGGTGTCTTCACAGAKTGACGCGCCTTACAACAACAGAAACAACCAAAATTTAATATCCAGGAATTAATCATGATGAAGGCAAACAATCTTGGTATTCGTAACGTTAAAGTGCCTATGAAGCCTGACAAAAAATTCTGATTCTCTGTTAGCTGATTCTATATAGAATAAATAATTGAATGGTGAAATATCCCTGTATTTCAGTATTGCGTCTTTGAGTTATGAACATTCCATCTTACAATATGTTAATGAAAATGACGTCAAAGAAGGCTTCATTAGATATACGAACGTTGAAGGAGTCGTTTAAAAATGGTTTCATGGCATTAAATTTATCRTATGCAATGTAGGGAATAACCATATTCCCAGATSGCGTTCATGAAAACATTTTAGAGCGACTGTTTCAAAATTCGTATATCWAATGAAGCCTCCCCTGACGTCATTATCATTAGCATATTGGAATATTAAAGCTTCATACTCAAAGACACAACGYTGAAATGCAGAAATATTTCAGCATTCATTTAGTTACTTTATATAGAATCAGCTCACAGATAATCAGAAAATATTTTGTCAGGCGTCATAGGCACTTTAAAAGAGGGACGATAGCAATGTTATTGAGAATGCATTGATGTCGAATTAAGCATTACAATGTCTTCTTTTGAGCATACTTTTAAAAGATCGTTTAGAATGTGAAACTTACAAAGTTTGCAGCTTTTTGCGCAGTTTTTATGCATGTATTTCTTGTATTTCAAGTTATAGCATTCTCCCTTCTTAGCCCATAGCGGACATTGGACCTTGTCGGAGTCTTCACATTTTGCTGTTCAAGAGACGAAAAAAATATTGCAATAATTATCTTCTTCTGCTTATACGATCTCTGCGAGCGACTTCCGGCATTCAGCAAAAGKGGAAGGCAAGCAGACTAAATTTTAAAAAGTTAAGAACAGGTATAGTCAAAGACGTCAATGGCTGACCTTCGCATATTTTGCAGCTTTTTGCACAATTTTTGTTCATATATT